AATACAGTAAAAGAGCCTATGGTTATAACGGATTGTGGAAATTCAGCTTTCGATAAAGTATATATGGATCTAGTAGGTCCTTTACCACGAGATAACAACTATAACTACATTTTAACACTACAGTGTGACCTCACCAAATATGTCGAGGCGTATCCGATAGCGAGTAAGGATGCGCGTACGGTGGCCACAACACTGGTAAATAATTTTATTCTTAGATATGGCATTCCCCGTGAGATAGTAAGCGACAGAGGAACCGAATTTGTCAACAGCATAATGAAAGAGGTATGTACAATTTTACATATAAATCATTTACAATCTACAGCTTTCCATCATCAAACTTTAGGTTCATTAGAAAATAGCCATAAACACTTAACTTTTTATTTGAGAATGCAAGTTAATAGTCAAACACAGGAATGGAGTTCATGGGTATCCTACTGGTGTTTCTCATATAACACTTCAGTACATTCGAGTACAAAATTTACGCCATATGAATTAGTATTCGGGAAACAATGTAACATACCTTCCAACCTCACTACTACAATAGATCCGATTTATAATTTTGATAACTATGCTGTTGAATTAAAATATCGTATACAAAAGTCTCAAATGGATGCTAAAACCAATCTTATTAATTCTAAAATTATTAGAAAAAGTAAATATGATAGCAGTATAAATCCAATAACGTATAAAACTGGTGATTTAATATTGGTTAAAAATGAGAACAGTAACAAACTTGATCCATTATATTTAGGTCCATTTTCAGTAGTTAAGGACATATCTCCAAATGTTGTTATCTTAGTTAAGGGAAAGGAAAAAACTGTTCATAAAAATAGAACTAGACTGTATTATGAATAAGATTATATTCCTGTAACACTTTTGTTTGTAATTGTACGATATCAAATGAAGACTTGTACCGATGTCATTGTTTATTGTTTAGATTGTAAAGTGTACTGAAATAGATATTGGATACTAACTTACAATTAACTAATTATTATACAATGAAAAATGTATAAAAGCTGAATCTACACAATTGAATGAATTATGTTTAAATTAAAAAAAAAAAAAAAAAAAAAAAAAAAAAAAATGTTTTTATAGTTTACATTTTTTTTTTTTTCCTTTTTTGAGAGGGCGTGTGACGTAGTAAGTAATCATTAGTCTATAAGAATATAACATTGTATCTTTTAGGCAGAGAGGCATTAATAAACGTAACGTGTAACCAACAACATCTTGTTTGATTCACCTAAGTCCCGTCCTTACATTACTAACGTAAACTAATGCCCGTTTTCACCAACAGCCCCTAAAATTTAAGTGTCTCTTAAGCCAATATAAGGGACACTTATCGCGAGTTTTGTTTTCACCAACGTTTAAGTGTCACCTATATCATTAGGGGTTCCATAAAATTTAGGGGATGAATTGACGACCCCGTAACGTTTAAGTGACACATAGTGTCAGGTTATTTTGCGAATCACCAAACAGTATTTTATCCTACTGAATAAGATAAAAAATAATAAAAATGGATAATAACCACTATTTATTTGAAGATTTTAAGCAATTGAAGATATGGAATTGTTAAGTAACCGACATTTGTATAGACGACCTCGTATTTATCGTGAAAGATCGAAAGATTTTGAAATATATGATGAAAAAGACTTTTTCATAAGATACAGGTTCCCTGCTCAACGTTACTTGTATTTAAAGAAATAAACCTGTGGCACTGATTAACCAATTACTGTGTGGCCTTAGATTGTTTTTTTTTTTTTTTTTTTTTTTTTTTTTTTTTTTTTTATTGATTATAGGTTCGCGCTTGACCGCTATCTCACCTGATGGAAAGCGACGATGCGGTCGACGATGGAGCGCACTCGAGATTATATGCAATTATTATCTGTAGCAGACCTCAATCCCATCAGTGTATCTACTTGCAGTAGAATTATAAAAAGAGTGTCTGACGCTATCGTGGGTCGTGGCAAAGCGAATTCATACAATTTCCAGACACCGAAGAAAAACAACAAATGTTTTAGGATGTATAGACTGTACACACATAAAAAATCAATTGTAAGGTTGGGCGTTTAGAGAAACACAGGTCCTTACGAGTAACCATTTATTACTGAATCTCCTATGAAATAATACATGATTTAATAAGATGGATAGACACGCACACATACAGATACGGCAGATCTTTGTGTCATATTTATTGAGCCTCCAGCGAACACCGTTGTTCGCACACCTATCGTCTTACTATGATGCCTCTTATAATGATATAGTCTTTTAATTGTATTAACTAGAAACCTTCTTTACATTTATTCATGTGATAAATTATAGGAGGAGATGATGCCGAACTATTCCGGAATAGATAAGGCAGTATGTCTATTAATATGCAAACAATAAGTACTGCAAAATTATTAATAACTGATGTGGTGACACGCTAGCCAGGATAAACAACATTCTTTATCTTCCAGTGAAAAATTTTGACCACGTTTCCTCTTTTCTGCCATTGTAATCTTCTATATAAAAATGGATCGCAAAATGTGTTGGTAAGCGCATAACTCAACAACGCCTGGACCAATTTTGAAAATTCTTTTTTTGTTGTGTTTGTTATTGTCAGAAGAAGGTTTTTATCAAAGAAAATATTAGAAAAGTATAGGGGATGATTAGGAAAAGGTGACCCTTTGATAGCGAGATAGTTGGACCCGTGCGAAGCGGGGGCGGGCCGCTAGTTATGTAATAAAAATTTGGTATTTTTTGAAAATAAATAAAACACTGATAAACACAGTTTGCACACCTAAATGAGAGACACACGATTTCAATTATTGCAAAAAAAAACTACTTATATTGTATAAGTGTGGGAGGGCCAAGCTTCAGCACGAATGGGTCGGCTCGACCGGAGTGATCCCACGGCCTCGCAGAAAACCGGCTTGAAACAACTTCAGCGTTGTGTTTCGCCCTGTGAGTGAGGTTACCGGAAGCCCAAACTTTGCCCTACTTCCGATCCCTCCCCAAACCCCTTAATCTCCAAAACCCTAATCCCTAAAAAGTCGGCAACGCACTCGTAACTCCTCCGTTGCAGGTGTCCATGGGCGGCGCTAATTGCTGACCATCAGGTAATCCGTCTGCTCGTTTGCCGACCAATTACATAAAAAAAAATTTGACGGCAAATTAAAACTATTGCACCATACATGGAGATCAAGAAGTTTAACACAGCCCTAAGTCCGCAGACACTTAAATTATGTAACTACCTCGATTATCTAAAATTAAATAACTTTTGATAACTTTCACAGAATGTCGTAAACAAAAATATGAAACGCGTCATTCAGTGAGGGCTTTCCGTCTAATAAGAACTTAGAAAATTTTGTTACTTCAAAATAACAATGCTGAGCACTTGCGACCAGCCAACCATTAAGTTTAACTACTTAGTTCGTAATCAGGATAATTAAGTTATTTTTTTTTTTTTTTGTTGTCCAACGCAACTACGCACGATCACAAGCAAGACTGACCCAGGAATTTCAGGTTAATTAAACCTATATTGATCTCTTTCGTCCTTCGAACCTCTTTCGTTTGTGATATAAATTTAAACGTGACTACCGAACATAATAAAAAATACAGAGTCGTTAATTTCGAAAATGGCAAGAAAAATTAAGGTAACGAATTGTGCACTTATCTGCAAAAACAAATGTCACTAAGCTATACGAAGAGTGTGGGAGAGCCATGGATCGGCTCGACCTTAGTGGATACTTCACAGAAAACCGGTGTGAAACAACCACAGCGTTATTAATCGCCATTTGAGTCAGATTACCTTGAAGGCCCAATCATTCCCCTCCCCCAATCCCAAAATCTCCAAATCCCTAATTCCCAAATGGTCGGCAACTGGGTGGCCTTGATTGCTTACCGTCAGGTATTCCTGGCTATGAGCGGCATTGATTGCTTGCCATGAGGTAATCCGTGTGCTCTTTTGCCATGCTTTCACATAAAAAAACGCTATTAAAAACAAAAAGGAATGAACAAATTAATACCGAGATCACTCTCTCAACTCATCCTCAGTGCAAAGTAAATATATCGACTTCACAGCCAATATTTTCACAGCTGCGGTTCGAAACTAATTTAAGGTCGACGCCAGTTCACTGTCAAGTTCGCGTAATGGCGGGAACAAGATGGCGCCGAGCAAACAGCTGATCAAGGAATCTTTTGGCACAACGCGGCAACGTAAACATTCATGATTAATGACTTTTTGTAAGGAAGTTGCTCATTGATTAATTAGATTACAGGACAGTTACCTTGATATTTGGAAATCAATTATGATTTTATATAAAAAATTGAATTCAATTTTTTTTTGCAAAAGTGTTGGCTTTAACGAGGTTCTTAATGTAATAAGTACACTCCCTTGTTAATGAAGTGTTCTCAAGGTTAAAGAACCCGAACACAAGGTCTCATTTTCTATCCAAGGTGTAAGTAAATTAGGTAAAGAGCCCATAAATTAACCCCAAGAGAGAGAAGTTGATTCCGGTCCGTTGAAATCCTGTTTTTTCCTAGCAACTGAGTATCTCCTAAATCGATGTTGTCACTCCAATTCGAATTTTATTTGTAACGTTTATAATTTTCAGATCGGTGGGATTTTCCTATTACAAAGGTATAAGACACTTATCTAAATAAATTTTGATGATATTATATGACACTAACATTAGGCTAAATAATAACACTATATGAATACCTAAAATTCTTAAATAAATATGTAATTGGAATTGAATAAAATTCTTTATTTCAACATTTTGAATTGAATGAACTACGAGTACATATATTCCCTTGTTTTAGGAGTTTAGCTTACAACTAGCTTCCACCCACGGCTTCGCCCGCGTGGTATGTTGATAAAAAGCCTATGTCCTATTCTAGACTGTATTCTATGCCTGAGCCAAATTTCATCCAGATCCGTCCAACCGTTTTGGCGTGATTGAGTAACAAACATCCACACATTACTTTCACATTTATAATATTATTAATTTCTGACTTACTTTCAATATCCTCAATCTTGGCTCCTCTAAGTGAAGGCAGCTTCAGTCTGTCAGCTGCCTCCTGGCACTGTGCTCGCCTCGTCGGGTACTCGCTGCCAGTCAGCTGGTGTTTCACGTTCGAGTTGGTGACCAGAACCACTAAATCATCCAGTTGCATTGGAATTTGTTGGGATTCCAGTGACCTGATGATGAACAGGTTACGTTTATTATTTTTTTTCTTTAATTGTTAGTCGTTTATTGGTATCTGGTGGTTGCAATTCTAAATGTTAAACTAGGAGAAGACTAGCGAAATTAGGACAGGGGTTTTCTTTATTTTGATGCATAGTTTACTCGATCACGTTGATCTACAAATTGTTGTTCTGGGTCTGGGTGTGATGTGTATATCACGATACAGGAAAAAAACATAGCGTGGGGCAAAGTTTACAAAAATATATATACCGCGCGAAAGCCGAACCTGGCTGCGGCACGGTGCGCAACTGTTAATTGCCTAGCAAATCCGCCATCCTAGCAATATAATGGGGTTTAACTACGTGCTTTCCATAATTTATCACCAAATAAAAATTCAAATGTAAATCCTGGTACATTTAAGACGCCACACAAAATATGGCGTTTGAGACATCGTGTTTAAAATTAATTGTCTTAATTAACATGTTACGTTTGAGGCACAGTTATTACTCATAGCTTCCGGGATAAAGCTAGTGATACACTTATCGCGAATCTACACTTTGTTCTTTATTCTTTATCATTAGTTACACATAAACTGCACGGTTGGTGTGGTGGTTGGGCAACTGGCTGCCGTGCTTACGTGTCGCGGGTTCGATCCCCGCACGGCACAAGTTTGTGTGATTTACAAAATGTTGTTCCGGGTCTGGGTGGCTTGTGTGTATGTGAAATTATATGTTTGTAACCGCAACCACGGCACAGGAAAAAATACTAGTGTGGGGGACTATACAACGTTTTATATAAAAAAAGAAAAATACAAAGGACAAAATATTATTATCACAAGTTTTATTGTTAAACTCAATGTCCAGGGAAAAGTAGTAAAAAAATAAAACGAAAAGCTTTATACTAAAAACTAGCTCCTACCATCGGCTTCGTCCGCAAAGAAAAGACCTCTATGTATTATTTCAGACTATAATCTATATCTATGTCAAATTTTATATAATTCCATTTCAGATTAAGATAAACTAAGATTGAAGATTATAATGTAACAATATTTCATTGATAAATGCAAATGGTATAACAATTAGCAGTAGCGAGGTGGACAAGATGAGATTGGGTAAAGCCGCAAATGCTATCCGAAAACGTAATACTTACCTACTTCTATTTTTCCTTTACTTACATTATTGTTCGGTGAATGACCCGAACACCATTATTACTAGCGTTATTAATATTAGTAGGATAACTGACGACTGTCGTTGACAAAAGTGTCATCATTTATTTATTTAGTTATTTATTTATTTACTAACTTATTTATTTATTTCTCTTTTTATTTATTTATACTTTGTTGTACACATCATTAACAATTTTACAAAGAGCAGTCTTATCACACAGGGTGATTTTTTCCAGACAAGCTTTGGATGGAAATTTGTAGGAAAACTGGGAAAAACTTCATTATTTCATGTACGTGCAACGAATGCCTTTATTTTAGTTATGCGGAAATGACCCAAAACACAAACTAAAGGATAGTCTCGTCCAAGGGTGTTCCCATGGGTCAAAAAGTTCTGCTTTCGACGTCATTGAGAACGACAAAGGACTGACGCCTAAAAGCGTTTCAATTATGCAAGTATTACGCAGTTCTTAAATTAAATTATAACCAAAAACGACACATCATCTGCCTACAAGAGCTTACTGTTAATCAAACGCCTGTTCTCACACGGTGAAGGTTTGAGAATTAATCACCACGCTTTCTTAAAGTAGATCGGCGATTTGAAACTCGTAATCGTACATTACAAATCTAGGTTACTTACGCTATTTTACTTCACCGTTTGTTCATGGTGTCTAAATATAATCAGAAAGTACATATGTATAAAGAAAAACATATGAGAGAGCCATGCTTCGGCACGAATGGGTCGGCTCGACCGGAGTGATACCACGGCCTCACAGAATGCCGACGTAAAACAACCGCAGTGTTGTGTTTCGCCATGTGAGTGAGGTTACCGGAGGCCACCATCCTATCAAAAGAACTCGCCTTGTAAGATAGTTATTGCAATTAAGAACCCAAAATAGAAAACGAAACATCATGTTTTCTTGAACTTAGATGTTTTGTTCAAAATGCTCGTAACGACTTACTCTTGTGAATGAAATGAGAAAAGCTTTAGTACGAGTAGTTTCAAGGCATAACGGGAATCTTATTCAAGAGAAGCGTCCGCATCGTGACGACGATTTCGCACAATCAGCATTAGATTTTTAGGTAGTATTTAAAGATTCTGTTAATCGTGATATCTATTGCAATTTTAGAATACACGGTTGGCGAAATGGCTGGGCAATTGGATCAACTTTTAGTACATATGATCCACAAATAATCGTTTTCAGTTTAGTTGAAATTGTATGTTTTTAAACGCACCCATGAAAAACGGGATAATGCTCACTAGCCTTGTCTAAGTTTAAAAATAAGTTTTCCCAGAATTGGTCAATTAAAAAACGTATTTCTTTTTTGTGTAATGTGTCGCTAACATGATTTTGCATGAGCGCTCTTAGAAAGGTTTATTAACCCACGTTGATTATCTCTCGGATTAATTTGAGTAAGACTACTTTATGTGATACTCCATGAGGAATTTATCACGGACGCATTGTAATGAAAATTATTATGAAAATTATGGCGAATTCCGTGCGTGTGTAACAAACCAAGGGTCAGTGTGGGAGAGCCAACTTCGGCACGAATGGGTCGCCTTAACCACAGCCTCACAGAAAACCTCCGTGAAACAACCACAGCGTTAATCCCCCTCTTCCCATCCCTTCCCAATCCTTAAGTCCGAAACACTTATCCCCAAAAGACCGATAACGCACACGTAACTCCTTTGGTGTTTCGGGTGTCCATAGGCGGTGCCGATTACATCAGATAAACCGTCAGCTCGTTAGCCGACACATGTATGCCAAAAAATATAGAAAAAATGTGTGAGACGTTCCCTAACGCGATTTAGGATTTGTGGCGTCATTATGTGATTTTTATTATCTTGTCGTATCTAATTGTTCCGTTATCGAATCTTATACATACTATATGTGTAGTGCCTCATATACTAATATGTCGTGTCGTACCGTGACGAGAGACGGCCTTCAAATGGATAAAACCGTCGCGTTCTACGGCTTATTAATGAGTTCACTGACCTGCAATCAATGAGTAAGGCATGGTCCTTCTTGCCCATGGTCACAATGTACTGGTCCATGATCCCGCACGGCATCCCCGGGAACTCGTGTTCTGCCTTCTGACACAACTTCGCCTTCTCAACCAACCTGTGAAAGATTAATTTTGATGTAAGAAGTCGTATAAAATTATTTATTTTTTTTCCGTTTAAGTTTATGTTAGTTTTCATATATTTATTAAAATCGCTCTAAAATTACATTTTTAAATATTACTATAAAATAAAATAATATTTAAAAATATAAAAGTAGGAGCCAGCTGGCAGCGGGAGCAAGGTCCAAGCTGCCGGCGGTTAGGGCTCCAGAGACAAGAACCTCCTCACAATACGTGCCGTTTCAAGGAGGACTGCCTTCTGTATGAGGCCCTTGATCCATCCGCCTAACGTCAGCCTCTTAAGGTGGTTGTCGAGGCTTTTGGGGACTAACCCGTTTGCCGACACAACTATCGGCACAACGATGGCCGAGTCCACATTTCACATGTCAACAACCTCGTGAGCCAAGTCAAGATATTTCAATTGTTTATCTTTCTCAGCTTTCACGAGGTTCTCGTCATGAGGAATGGCAATTATGTTAGTATTATATTATGTTAGTTAATTATTAAATTCAAAAATAATTATATCGAGAGGAGAATAACAGATAGTGGATAATTTTGATATTTTCAAATTCAAATATCAATTAAATCTGTAGATAACTAGTCGGTTTCGTATTAAATCTCTTCGTACAATTAAAACGCGTGTGTACGACCCAAAAAACTTATATCATAAAAATTATACAACATTCAATTACTTAATTTCATCCTACTTAATTTCACTGTGTATTATATGAATATTATAAACGTTACGTCACATCTTTTCATACCCAAAGGAGGCAGATGTGCACACACATGTGACAAACAATTATCACTCGTCACGTTACTCAGGGTTGAGGGTGAAGGGCGATAAGATACCGCGACCCTGGCCTGGAGCAGGGAGCAGGAGAAAGGATGGGGAGGTTTTTAGTCAGTAAGAATCAAACACGCCCCACCCTGGGCGAGAGATATCACAAAAAGACTATTCACCCTCACAAAAAATCGACATATTAGAAGCTTCATTTATTAAAGGGATATATTATAAATTATACACCCCGCCCAACCGCCCAATTACAAATAATTTAAAAAGTTGAAAAAATATATCGCAACCATTTTTAGACTTATTTGAAGAGCATAGAGTGTATAATTATTTGTATTTGTCAACAAAACAAATGTTTAATTGTCGGTCGAGTTAATAGAATCGTTGGGGCGTATGTTCAAAAGAGTTGCTTTGACATTGGCATATGTTTTGTTTTAGCAGTTCATTAAAGTGGTTGAACTTTGAGAGTATCGAACTTTGATCGGTCCTGAACCTGTAGAGTTCAATCATTCCTTAGTTTTTTATTCCACTGCTGCTATATCGCCTAGTATCGATGATGCAGCCTACGATGTAGCGAACGTACTATAAGCAATTAAACTTATTTCACTCGGGCTTTGAAGATACCTAAGACCTTCCAATTGCAGCGTATACTAACCGAATAGTTATCGAAGAATATTAGCCCGAAAGGTTGTATTCTAGCTATTTCGTGGCCAGATACCAGATGCCGAGCAACACACGACTCCGGTATATCATGCAGAATATTAACACACAATAAAATTCTACATACGCATCACATCCAGACCCTGAACATCAATTTGTTGGCATATTACCACCATGTTGACGAAAAAATACGTCTGGTAACAATTTATATATTTTTACATAGAAAAATACAAAATGCATACCTTCGGGAAAAACAGAGTCTTTCAAATATTTCCACTCGTTAGTGGATCCAAGTCTTTGGATTGAGTATTGTTAAATATTATACACTAGCTCTTCCCTATTGGCTATAGCGTAATGTTTTATAGTCTTCCTCGATAAATGGACTATCCAACACAAAAATAATCGTAGAATCAGTAGGTCCGAAGATTAGTGCGTTCGAACAAACAAACTCTTCAGCTTTATGATTAAATAATTAAAAATAATCTAAATAATCATATGTTATATATGTTCTTGTAGCATTTTCGTCGTTTGGCCCCTAAGTTGGAACGGTCTGGGGCCGCGCTCAAGCGGCTCCTTCCCAACCTCGGGGGGCCAAACGCCTCCTGCCGGAGGTTGTATATGGGGATTGTGCGATCCATGGCCCTCTACGGTGCCCCTGTGTGGGCGCCGGACTTGAAGCGGCGGCCGGCTCGTACGCTGGTCGCGTCCCAGAGGGTCATGGCTATACGAGTAATCCGCGGGTATCGCACGATCTCCGGGGAGGCGGCGAACCTCCTTGCCGGATCACCGCCGTGGGATCTAGAAGCGAAGGCGCTCGCGCGCGTCTACAGTTTGCGCGCAGACGCGCGTAGCCGGGGCGAAGATCCTTTGCCGCGCCAAATAAGTGCGTGGCGGAATGAGCTCCGGCGAGATCTCATGGCAGAGTGGAGACAACGACTGTCGCAACCGAGGGCCGGGCACGCTACCATAGCAGCGGTAAGACCCCTCTTTGAGGAGTGGCTTGAGAGACGCCACGGCGTCCTCACCTTCCGTCTGACGCAGGTGCTTACCGGGCACGGCAGCTTCGGTAGGTTCCTGTTTCGGATTCAGCGGGAGGAAACGCCCGAGTGTCGTCATTGTGAGGACCACCTAGAGGATACGGTGGAGCATACGGTAGCGGTATGCCCTGCCTGGGCTGAGCACCGCCGTATCCTCAGGGAAGTGATCGGAGGCGGCGACCTCTCGCGCCCGGCCTTAGTCGAGGCCATGGTGCGGAGTGAGAGGAACTGGGACGCCGTCTCCTCCTTTTGTGAAGCAGTCATGCTCGCAAAGAGAGAGGCGGCCCGCGTGAGGGAGCAATCCTCCTCCTCACGCCCCAGCAGCCGCAACTGGCGACACTACGGGCGTCGGGGATCGAGGGACGATCTCCGGCCACCGTAAGTACGGGCCTGCGGTCGGCGAGTAAGGGCAGCTCGCCGCCCGACCAGAACCAGGCCCGAGCGTACGGCGCGTAGCGTTCCGCCCGCGCCTCAAAGAGCCAATAGACCACCACAGACGGGGCCCTAAAGGGCTGATGTTCAGCCGGGGTTGCGGGGTAAGCGCAATAAGGTACCGCGACCTCGGCACAGAGCAGGAGAAGGAACAGGGGGGTTTTTAGTCAGTAAGAGTCTGACACTCCCTCCTGCCCGGCCCTGGGCGGGAGAAGTCATTTGATGATTTTCCCCTCACAAAAAAAAAAAAAAAAAAAATATATGTTCTTGTATTATACATTTTTGTTTTTTTATTGTTACGTGGGACTCATAACAAGCTCTCAAAAGGGTTTGCCTTTATTGCGTGCATTGATCTATCCTAACCTTTAAAAGAACACAAGGTATGTTATGTTATAAGCATAGGTAAAATTTTGTTTCAAGTTAAACAGAATTCTAGAATATTTTGGTTTATAGGCTATACCCTAAAATACTTATGCGAATTTGTATAGGTACACTAATTAGGTACCCTTTAGCTTAAGAGGATTAGAAGCAAAAATTATAACGAGACCTACTCAAGAAGAAATTTAGCAAAAAGTAATCAATCAATCAATACAGTTTTGTGAAATTACGTGGAGTAGACCAAGAATGTCGGGTGTCAAGCCTAGATTATGACTCAAAGAGGAATTAGACCACCACAGATGAGGCCTAACAAGGCCGATGTTAAGCCTGGGTTGTGGGTCAATCGCAATAGGGAATCGCGGCCTCGGCCTGGAGCAGGTGAAGGAACGACGTAGTATTTAGTCAGTAAGAGTCTGACACTCCCTCTCGCCTCACCCTAGGCGAGAGAAACAACTTGATAATTTTACCCCTCTAAAAGAAAATGTCTAGGTCAGTATACTGGTATAATCCTCTTTGTAATAGAGTTCACTGAACTCTTGCTTCGATCACTAAGTCAAAATTAATTAGATACAAAATTCATCAACATTTTTATTTGGGGATCAATTTTCTCTTGATTTGTATTAATCCTACTATATTATAATTGTGAAAGTTCGTGAGATAGTATGGATGTATGTTTGTTATTCCTTCATGCAAAAACGGCTGGATCGATTTGGTTGAAATACGGTATGTAGATAAATGATAGGTACTCAGGAAAAATAGGTACATGGGCTGAACTTTTTATTCTACATATCTCGAAACTAGTAATTAATGATATAGTTTTTTTTAAAGAATTTATAAACGATACTCCCTTTCGCCTCATTGGGGCGGGAGAAATCATTTAATGATTTTCTCCTTACACAAAAAATAACTTAATTATCCAAAATGATTTGGTTGTTACTTACCCAACGCTTCTACCAGTGAGTCCCTCTAGGAGTGTGAAGGTGGCTACTTCAATAGCAGCGCTGCTGGAGAGCCCTGCACCCATAGGTACATCAGACACTATGACTGCATCGAAACCTCCCACTCCACCTGGATTCAACAAGTATATTATTTTATTTTTTATTGTAATCTATACTAGAGTAGTTGATATTTTTAATCTAGTATTCTATAAATAGTTGGTTACATAATAGAATGCACTAACGGCTACTTATTATAAGAGATAAAATTTGTAAGTTTGTAAGTTTGTATGTAAGGGGTAATCGTAATAATATTTGATAACGCTGGTCGTATTTCCAAAGTTCTTTCATTAATTGATAGCTACAATGTTCCCGAGTGCTATTACCTATATATAAAACATATAGTTAGCGGGAGTAGCTAGTCTAAAATAAACGGTAAAAGAAACTCATTTTATGGAGTTAGTCGATAAACCAGCAGATGGATGCAGTCGGCGCCTGATGGTAAGCAATCAGCGCCACCCACGGACACTCGCAACTTCACAGCAATGAGGGGGTGTAAAGTTAGAACATACCTGGAAAATTAGCCACAACCCCCTTCACGTAGTTTGCCCACGCTGGTGGCCCTGGCTTCAAGGGTGATAATGGAGTTGGGGCTTGAAAGCTGGTGCTCACCTCCTCACCAGTTCCAAGAACAGACACCAACCGACAGTCTCCTGTGCCATTCAGACCACCCACTATAAGGGTGACGAATGGCAAAGCCTGATCGAGAAGACAATGGAATTATTACAAAAAACGCCGTATTGTAATATTATGTTATTGTTGTAAGTGTGGGAGAGCCAAGCTTCGGTACGGTCGGCTCGATCGGAGTGATACCACGGCCTCACTGAAAACCGGCGTAAATAGCCACAGCGTTGTTTCGCCGTGTGAGTGAGGTTACCGGAGGCCCAATCCCGCCCTTTCCTCTATCCCTTCCCGATCCTTATATCCGCAAGCCATATCCCCAAAAGACCGGCAACACACTCGTAACTACTTTAGTGTTGCGGGTGTGCATGGGCGGCGCCGATTGCTTACCATCAGGTAATCCGTCTGCTCGTTTGCCGACTTATACCATAAAAAAACATAATCATTAGAACTAAGGTTTTAATAGCACTGTTGTAGTTTTAGTGTGGGAGAGTCAAGCTTCGGCACGAATATGTTGGCTGGACCATGCTGGGCCAAAAACCTGGGTTTTAAACGGTAAAGAATAGAAAATAACTCTCATATTATTCTTGAACCGGTAATCAAACGTAACATGTCTTACGGAACAAAACTCTAATATTCTCGTTATAAATTGTAAGATTAAACGCTCAAATTAATAAACTCAGTAATATAAACAAATCAAGCATACTGACCTGCTTTAATTAGACAAAATATGTCAAGATCTAATTATTTCGCGACGAACGTCAGCTTTCAAAATATTTTCCAAAACATCTGAGACCCCTTGAGAACTTGCTTTGATTGGTGATTTATCAATATCAGAACGATATTTTCACAAAATTTTCTTGATTTTGCAAATTTGTAGGTACATACTACGCGACAGGTTGCACAATATTTTGACTAAACAACGTTTAACGTTGACAAGAGTTTAATAAGAAACTTAACAAGAACTTCGCATTTTAAGTTTATCTTTGTCTGAAGGTCGTTTACAAAATAGTTAAGAATTCATTATATACCTAACATATGCAATCGTGTAGTAAACATAAGTCGGTTAAGCTATTTACTTCAAATAAAACAGTTAAAGTTGAAATTCACAGAAAAAATATTAAATGAAATCGTTTTATTTTTTTTCCATAAGGTTTTGTTACCTAGGATTTATTAATCTAGATTAAACCTAGGGTTTATTAATCAACTTATTACTAATTATCATACAATCACTTTATATTATTAAAAACTATTTAATAGGGTAGTTTCCTAGGTAAAAAATAAATTAATTCGACGTTTCAATAACTATACTTTTACTCATCGATCGATCGATACACTAAATTTTAGATTTTTTAAAGTTATTATTAAGAAATAAGTAAGCTCTTTGACGCAAAAATGTTATGACGTTTTAACTCAGTTTTGTATAGTTTTTGACGTTTAACTAAAAGTATTGAATTTGAGTAGTTGAAAACTACCGTATTTTATTTACTACAGGTCTACGCTGCTCTCTATTTCAATGTAATGTAAGTTTAAGTGACACTTACAGAAAGGGTTAAACTCAATTAAAAAAATGTGCAATCCACTGTTGACTTTGAAATAATTAGAGACAGCGTAGGCTGTAATAATACATAATCGATACCGAAAGACATTTATCCGATTATAAAATAATCGGGTTAGCTGCAAAAGTTTCTTGTTACCAACTCGAATAATCAGATATTGTCTTGTCGGCATTTAATTTCATTTAAATGTTTGTTTTTGTTATAGGTCAGCAAACAAGCTGACGGATTACCTGTTGGTAAGCAATCAACGCTGACCCTGGCCACATGTTATCCGGACTTTTGGGGATTAGGGTTTCAGAGATTTAGGGACTGGTAAGGTATGGGGGGAGGGGTAGGATTGGGCCTCCGGTAATCTTACTCACACGGCGAAATACAAAACTGTGGTTTTTTTACGCCGTTTATCTGTGAGGCCGTGATCACTGCGGTCGAGCCAATCTAATCATGCCGAAGCGTGACTTTCCCACACTTTTATACATAGATTATTATTACGCGTTAGTTATACCTATGTGGCTATTAAACAGAAGCCCACGAAGTTTTTGCTAAACAGCGGTGCGGTAATAGTAGGTATTTGGCATAGTTTTTTTTTCAGTAGGAAATTCGTGTCTCGCTCCTCCCGCCCTGGTTGAGGGGAAAGGGGGTGTCAAATCCTCACTAATTCAATACCACCCCGTTCCATCTCCTGTTTTATAATCACAAACAAATTTAATAATATTTGATGTTAAAATTTTTGTATTAAGAATAAATAAGGAACAGTCTACTTTTAGATAGACTACATTGACTAGACTATTAATAGTGTCGCCCGTATTAGGCGTCTGAGGATCCAGTCAATTGGAGAACTACTATAATTAGCACACAGGGTGTTTGGCGAACAACCCTTCGCACTCGAACTCGCCGTCCGCAGACACGTGCTTACGGTCGCCGGAAATCGTCGCGCAATCCCGATTTTCTCCTGTGGGGGCTAGAACGTGAGGAGGATAGCAATTTATATACTTTACATAGACACATGTCAGAGGACACATGTACTTATATAATAGAAAACAATAATAAGCTTCGGTCCCATTGTTTGCTCTTAATTATAGCAAATGTTAATTACAATTCATTGATAATTTTAAACAAGCATCATTTATAAAGCTTAAACTGTCGAGTTCAGGAATATTTGGGTGGCGTGTCGCGACAAACATGTTTTCTCACGTTTCCAGCCGATATACGCAGTTACTACATATGTGGGCGTAATCTTGCTAATATTATAAATGCGAAAGTTACGATGTTTGGGTGTTTGTAACTCAATCACGCCAAAACGAATGGACGGATCTGGATGAAATTTGGCACAGGCATAGGATACACTCCGGAATATGACATAGGCTTTTTATCAACATACCACGTAAGCGTGTTTTGCGAGATTATTCTTTGTCGAGAGACCCTAAGCACGACTGACGAGTACGAGGCCCTTAGTATAAGACAAGGCCTTAATTTTATAGAAAACTACGGCTTGCTGACAGGAATTAACTGTGGAGAGCTCAACTTTTTCTAAGTCACAATGGGACTGTTATTCATGGCAGCGTGCTGGTAAGAGATGGCAGCGTGTTGACCGTCTTTGGCTGCTGAGTTGAAACTAATAGATCTTGTCTCAGTTAGTTCACGTTAGTAAGCTCACTTACACGACGAAACACAACGCTGTGGTTGTTTCGCGCCGGTTTTCTGTGAGGCTGTTGTCGATCTATCACTACAGTCGAGCCTTCGTCCCGAAGCTTGGTTATCCCACATTTTGGCATCATAAAATCACCACAGATACTATACGGCCGACGTATCTTGACGAGTCTGAAGTTAGCCGTTTGTCTGCGCAATGGATCTTTTAGGAACAAAATTGTGTACTGCTCAGCTAATCGGCTAACTACAGACTCGCCAAGATACGACGGCCGCACTTTACCTAAGTGTTTAATTGTTCTTAGATATCCAACTCTGTCTACAATTAGAAGGTGTGTAGTACTTACTACTGGCAGTACAAATCCTTCACAATAGTCTATGTGTTCCCCAATAAGGTTGACGCGGCCGGGAGCACACGCGGCCGTGGTCGGCTGCCGGCCAAACGTCGCGACGAACTTGTCGCGCGCCTGCTTCAGTAGTACCGCCTCGCCTTTAGCTATTGCTTCATTTGACATCTGAAAACAATTTATAAGTAAATAAATATTATAAAAAATAAATCCTCTTTTATATCTCTAATATTTAAAAGTATTATGTAATTATAATGATTGTAAGATGTTTTATCAACTCTCGCCTGATACACTGGTCCTAGTTCAGGCAGCTAATATTCTGAACTTGTTACTGCTGATATAGCTTTAAGCTTGAATGAAGAAGAACAATCATATACTACCCGGCGGATTATAATAGGTTTTTTATTTTAGTTCACTGCAGAGTTGACACGAAGCGACACAGTGTAGTGGGGTCCGATTCCCACACGATTTTGTGTGATCCACAAATTGTTCTGCCGGGTCTTGGTGTGATATGTACTTATTGTGTGTAAAATTTTATGTTTATAAACACACCCAAGATAAAGCAGGACATTTAAAAACATGGTGGTGGTCTACACCTGAGAAAGCCGGTGGAATGGTAAAGTAAAAAGCTGCATAGCGACGCACGGATTCATTGTCACACGAATAATATAATTTAATATGTAACCTACAAAACTATCTCTCAAAATTATCGGCTCATCTATCTACGCCCCGTATTCTGTGGGAAGTAACGCATGTATATATGTTTCTATTAATAATTCTAAATTACAAATTCATATTAGATACGTACGATGAAGATTTTCGTCGGAATACAGGATTGATTGGATTGAATACAGGATTCAATTTGTGAAATCGAAACATTAATATCTCTATTAATGTTTCACTCAATGTTGATAATACGTGTTTCAAATTGAAGTCGACGTTTGGGAATAGAAATGTCGCAGTGACCCGAAGGTACCCCTCTTTTAGGCACAAATCCTGTTTAGACAAACTTTCGGAACCTGTCGAGTACTAATGTGATTTGTCCAAGTTATAATTTTACTAGTCTTACTAATATTATAAATGCGAAAGTTACGATGTTTGGATGTTTGTTACTCAATCACGCCCAAACGGCTGGATGGATCTAGATGAATTGTGGCACAGCATACCCTCCTTAATAGGGCATAGGCTACTTTTTATCAAATTACCACTCGGGCGAAGCCGCAGGCGGAAGCTAGTCGTTCATATTTTCTGAGATTATTTGGACACCACTGATATATGGTGTCCAAAAAGTTGTATAGGTCGCTGTCGCAAGCAGACAGTCTGCCTAATGATGTGGTTAATAATTTATATATATAAAAGAAAGTCGTGTTAGTTACACCGCTTATAACTCAAGAACGGCTGAACCGATTTAGCTGAAAATTGACAGGGAGGTAGTTTAGAGCCAGGAGAAGGACATAGGATAGAGGATAGAGTAGGTAGAGTAGGTTAGGTAGAGTAGGGTAGGTAGAGTAGGTTAAGTAGAGTAGGTTAGGTAGAGTAGGGTAGGTAGAGTAGGCTAGGTAGAGTAGGCTAGGTAGAGTAGGCTAGGTAGAGTAGGGTAGGTAGAGTAGGGTAGGTAGAGTAGGGTAGGTAGAGTAGGGTAGGTAGAGTAGAGTAGGTAGAGTAGGGTAGGAAGAGTAGGGTAGGAAGAGTAGGGTAGGTAGAGTAGGTAAGGTAGAGTAGGTTAGGTAGAGTAGTTTAGGTAGAGTAGGGTAGGTAGAGTAGGGTAGGTAGACTAGGGTAGGAAGAGTAGGGTAGGAAGAGTAGGGTAGGTAGAGTAGGGTAGGTGAAGTAGGGTAGGTATAGTAGGGTAAGTAGAGTAGGGTAGGTAGGGTAGGTACAGTATGGTAGATAGTCAAATGACGGGAGCGACGCCGCGGATAAGAGCTAGTATTAGTATAGATATATTATACGCATAGATTAGTAAATCTATGCGTATAATATTGTGACGGAAAAGAGTCATGATGACGTCTATGAATGGTTGTCAAACGTTGCCTTGACAAAAAGTTCGAGTTCCGCCGTAAGCATGGAGTTTTTAGTTGATGGAAATTTTGTGTAGAACTTTCTGGAAGCTTTTGTGTGAAAGAAATGAAAAATTAAAGAGCGAGAGGGAGAATAAAAAAATGAATAATGAAAAGACGAATGAAATTGAATGTTCCAGAACCTGACCGGGGGTATATAAGCGGAACTACGGCTCACCGCTAGCAGTTGAGTTCTAAGTCCAAAGCGATTCGGAAGAAAAGGAAGAAGTGAAACAGAAGAAAAGTGAGTGACATAGTGAAGTGCTGTGAAATAGTGAAGCGCAGTAAAATAGTGAAGTGCAGTTAAGTCAGCGTGAACAGTGAGCAGCAAACGGAAGCTTGTGTCAGTCCGGACTCTGCTAGAGAGGAACTCGGTGGACGCTGTCACTTAAGTTAAATAGAAAGTCTGAAAACCGGTATTAGTGTTTAATTTCATCCAATCCCGTAACCTAAGCCCGCATAGTCAGGAACGTGACGTCAGGCTCGTAACAATATATAGGTATCTATACTAATATTATAAAGCTGAAGAGTTTGTTTGAACGCGCTAATCTACAGAACAACTGGTTCGAATTGAATAATTCTTTTTGTGTTTGTTAATCCAATTATCGAGGAAGGGTGGGAGCCGAGCAGCGGGTGAAACCGCGCGAGAGTAGCTAGTATATAATACAGTCCATTAGAAGATAGTTGCAAATACACCCCCGCAAGCGTATTTCACGTTGTTTAATTTTTTTTATATCACCGCATATAAAGATACCGTTATACGTCCAACATAAAGCAAGTGTAATTATTAATGCTCATATCTTCTCCACGTGAGAAGACGCCTTAAGACGCCTTTGCTTAGCAATAAGTACTTATAGGCTACTTAAAGGACCAATAACATTGCTGATAAATTATTATATAAGTAAGGTTAAAGAAAATTATACCATATTATTTAATAAATAGTAGATATTATTGTGTGTTCCGTACACTTTGTACAGTTTATTAGGCATCCGACTTTACAGTCAATTTCTTTACCAAGTTTATGATGAGCTGATAAATAAGGGTTATCTTGTTTATCTGTTTATGGCGCGTCATTGCTAGACGCGGTTTTGTTTGATAATATTGTAAAATAATTACTTTAATATAATTTTATATCTGTATATATGGATGTCTATAAAAATCGTGTGCCTTGCTTGGGCTGAGCACCGCCGCGCCGTGACCTCGGAGAAGCGATCGGCGGCAGCGACCTCTTGCGCCCGGCCTTAGTTGAGAGTTGAGGCCATGGTTCGTAGCGAGAGGAACTGGGAAGCCGTCTCCTCTTTCTGCGAAGCAATGATGCTCGCAAAGGAGGAGGAGCTGAGCAGGAGAAGGAACGGGGGGGTTTTTCGTCAGTACAGTGTCAGAGTCTGACACTCTTTCTCGCCTTACCTTGGGCGGGAGAGGGCATTTAATGAGTTTACCCTGCCAAAAAAAAGCGCGTAACCTCTCGCGTACAACATCCACGACGAAATGGTCGCTTAAATATTCGATGCAGCAAAAGAAGAAGGGAATCGTGTCTACTTTTTTAGATATCCTTAATTACTCGGGACAATAATAATCATAACAACAAATATTAGATTATCAAAATTAGTCCAGCCGTTTTGTAATTTTAGCGAGACAAACGAACAGCCATTCATTCAACTAGCGACTTCGTACGGTGCAATACTGATTCCAAATTTCTCCACTATTCATAAGTAAACTTACTATCTTAACTTTCGATAACGATGTTTGGATGTTTGTTGCTCAATCACGCCAAAACGGCTGGACGGATCTGGATGAAATTAGGCAAAGGCATAGAATACACTCCGGAATAGGACATAGACTACTTTTTATCAACATACCACGCGGGCGAAGCCGCGGGCGGAAGCTGTTTACATATAAACCTTCCTCTTCAATAATTCTATCTAATAAAAAAAACAAAACTCATCAAAATCCTTTGCACAGTTTTAAGGATTTAAGCATTAGGTACAGAGAAAGCGACTTTGTTTTAAAATATGTCGTGAAGAGAAAGTATTATGCCAACTAATCTAAAAACAGTTTATTCTATAGTAAGCACTGAAGAATCAACTGCAACACAACTGCTAGAATCTAGAAGCTACGTGTAAAATAACACGGGACCAAGGTTCAGGGCCAGGAAATGAGATAACCCAGTCAGTATCTAGTCAACTATTTCCTTCACACGACCTTTAGGATGCTCTCAATGACGGCCACTGTACTTCACGTCCGTAGATGTCAATTTACGCTCGCCTCGCCTACACAAATGGCATTCACCAATTAATTTGCTCTTCAAATAACAAGAGTAACTAAGTGTGGGAGAGCCATGCTTCAGCACGAATGGGTCGGCTCGACTTGAGTGATACCACGGCCTCACAGAAAACCGGCGTGAAACAACCACAGCGTTGTGTTTCGCCGTGTGAGTAAGATTACCGGAGGCCCAATCCTTCCCCTTCCCGGACCCTTCCCCAATCCCTAAATCTTCAAATCCCTAATCCCTAAAAGGTCGGCAACGCACTCGTAACGACTCCGTTGCGGGTGTCCATGGGCGGCGTTGATTGCTTACCATCAGGTAATCCATCTGCTCGTTTGCCGACTTATTACATTAAAAAAAAATATAAATTGCGAGAAAAAACTACAAACTTATCACTCAGTTATGTGTGGTTTTATTGCATATTATTTTATACACGCCTACATACATATTTATCGAAAATGTTACCATATCACTCGTTGTAAATACATTTATGACACTGGGATTACTAAATATCTCATTCCTAAATAGTTTATCGATTCCAAAATGATTCGTAATAGTAATAGTTATCGACAGAGGACATTTAGTCATACCTTTTATAGTACCTAGGTACTATTAACAGTATTCAACGTTTTAACATAGTACATTTATACCTATACACTTTTGCCCGCGACTTTGTTCGCGTGGGATAGTGACTTCCTGCAGATTTTTGGTTTAAAAACTATCCAATGTCCTTTCTCGAGTTCCAAACTATGTCTGTACCAAATTTCACACAAATAGGATCAGTAGTTTAGGGGTAAAGAAAAGACAGACAGAATGACAGACAGATAGACAGAGTAAATTTGCATTTATAATATTAGTTTGGACTAGCCACTCTCGCGCGGTTGCTCAGCTCCCTTTAATAGTAGCGTTATGTTTTATAGCCTTTAGCATTCAGTTACATTGTAGCTATCTATCAGTGAAAGAATTTTGCAAATCCGACCAGCGGTTCTAAAGGTACTACATACAAACTTACAAATTATAAATGTGAAAAGTAATGTTTACAATAATTTATCTAGATTTCATTTTCAAGAAACAAAGTACCTGAAGCTGAATGGTTCTACACTACCAATAAAAAAAAATGAAGAATTTTCTTGCTCATTCTTTCCTACACAAATCTCCATTTTGGAATGAGCGCCTATATTCACTGGTTGATATACTGACAAATTTTTGACGTGTCATAAGTACATCTGATAGTTAGCAGTGTGATTCTGTAAGACTTCATATTAAACTTCGAATCTGGAATCCGCTGTGAGTAGTAGTCGGTACACTAGCGCTTTACTTGCGAGTTGAACTAAATTGACCGCAATATTTTGATAGATAAAGTAGGTATGAGATGACGTTAAAAGTGGCATTCTATAAAGTATATTGTTCTGTATTCTGAGAATGTAAATTCCCCATCACTTTGACGCTCACTTCACACTCAAACAAGATTCAAAATCAAACATATTTTATAGAATCGACGCACGTGCTGATGTGTTTTAATAGCAATAAATATTGTTAAAATTAATTCTAGTATTTAAAAATTACATACATCACCGTATAACTAACGAGTAGGAAGTCATAAGTTATCATTAATAATGTAAAATTAAAAACTGTAGGGGCTCTGATAACAGAGGTTAAACACATATATGTAGATAAGATAAGAATTCAAGAGATTTCCATTCATAAAACAAAAACATCATCGTTTCATTTTGGTCAGCTCACATCAAGACGCGACGCGACTCTGTATTCAATGGAGGAAATAAATATATATATGGCCGGCGCTTGAGCTTTGATAAATTACGAGATTGGTAGACCGAACAAGCATGCTTTTCGAATAAGAAGACGACCCTTGTTGAAACGGCAAATCACGGTATCTAATGGTTGTCCTGAGTTAAAGTCAGTGCTTTAAATTGTTAAGGAGTTCCCTCGACTGTCAATAGTCTCCATCATCAGGTATTGGTACAGCATACCTTCATAATAATCTATAAAGGTGCAAAGTTCTCATTAATATAAATGAATTTAGTCCAAGCATAAGGTTATGCTGTACACCGTTAAGGAGTTCCCTGCACTATTCTTCGTCTTCATCATCAAACCCTTAATGATAGTCATCGTCTATCTATAAAGTTCTAATCAATACAATTTAATGTAACTTAAAACCAAGTATCTGCTATTAATCGTTGAAGAGTTCCCTCGACCGTTTCTTATCTCCATCATCAGATCTATCCCAGACTCCATTAAATAGAAAGAAAGAAAGAAAAACCATTTATAACGCCACGACATATAACAAGAATACAGGTACACACACAAAATGGTACTACCAATTGATGAAGGCCTTTAAAATACCAAATAAAAAACTAACAAACGTACTAGTTGCCCTCACGAAAGTACCCCACGAATTTCTCAGGGCTGCGATCATCAGATCAGAATATGGTTTCCTTTTCATAGGACAAGAAATATAGCTATATACTATTCAAAAAATAACAGCCATCAAAATCTGTTGTTAAACGACGAAGTTATCCGCAAATATATACGGTCGATTTGATGAACCGGCTCTTTTTGGAAATCGGATATACGATTAAATGTTTTGATAATATTGTATACTACACATTCGTGATATTTGGTTCTGTAGATGTACTTAGAGAAACCCGTGTTATTAACCTAAACAAAATGACAACAACGAAAACGAACGACAACAAAATGCAACAAAAAAGAATACATATGTAGTTAATCTATACTAATATTATAAAGAGGTAAATATATAATATAAATTAGTAATTTTGTATCTAGGGGGTAATCTTTGGAACCGCTGGTCGGATTGCCAAAATTCTTTCACTGATAGATAGCTAAAATGTTCCTGAGTGCTATATAGGCTATAAAATATCATGCTACGATCAATTGGAGCTGAGCAGCGGGTGAATCCACGTGAAAGTAGCTGGTAATATACATAGGTATACATAGATACATACATAGGTATACATAAACAAACACCCACTTTATATCTTAGAAAATTAAGTTGATTTCTCAACTTACTTAGTGCAAAATTTTAATACCATCTTAATTTAATTAAAAATAAACTTCACGTTAAAGCAATAAGGTTAATTTTATACCAGCAAATAAAATGGAAACTGAATAAATCAATAAATGCAGTTCCCATTCATTGATCATTTACAATTGTTTGCATCGGACAGCAAAAGGAAATACCTACTTACACTATTCACAATAGAGTTCAAATTCATTTGTTCAAGTTGTTATCAATGTTTAAGACGGGACATTCTTCAATTATTAATACACAGATGTAATTACAAGACCACATCGTCACGCTAATATCATATTGGGATAGACAGTGAAAAGAATATTACGAAACCTTGACGTTCAAAGTGCCTACTATGGTCTAATTGAAATAAATGATTTTTGACTTTTTGACTTTTTTGACCTCTTTTAATTATAACCACAATTAAAAATTATTTGATGCGTCCTACCGGTCTAATGATTGTGTTTTTTTTTTTTTTTTGGAGTTTATGGCCTGGATACGAGTCCTTTAAGCCAATGATTGTGTTATTATGAACAAAATAATGTTACCAATTTCCAAAGTTTATTAACTGAAAAAATAATAAAATAAAGACTAAATTGGTCATGCAATAAACACGCACGGGATCTCAAGGTCCAGTCCCTAGTTGAAGCAAAAGTATTATGAAATTATTATATTTTAACATTGTAGTACTGTGTCAATTTTTAGCTTGTTGTCAGAGTTGACTGTTGATAATTTGGTACCTGTAGTGTACGTAATATACTTCTGTTAATACCCATAACAGGCAAGCAGCGAACACGTAATGTTTTGTAATAGAAATCTATTAAATATTACCTTTTATAAATAAAATACAACTTTTTTGAAAAAACACTTAAATGACCACAGATCTCTGAAACAATTGAAACAAATTCTCTTTTCACTTTAAACAGAACACATTTAAAAAAAATCTGCACGGCCAGACTACACACCTGCGCAAAACTAAAACGCATTAACCGCCACGGTGAATAAACAAACAAAATTGAACACTATAAACACGACATACCTTGTAAATTTTTTATATTTTTGTTCGACACAACTCACAACCGATCGAAGCCGCACGGCGCGTTCTACTCGACGATAGCATGTTTTAATAAAAACGTTAATAATCATTAAGGCTGGTTCTCAATGGCGGACAATTGGTTAACAATTGAAAAGCGTCATACATGACCGTTCTTATTGTAGAGAAATGTTTCTTGAATAGTTATAGCGTAAGTAGGACTATCCAAATACGAATTAGTAGGTAAATATGTTCTAACTCCACTAGCACAAATAAAGTCAAAAAAGACAAAAAAATATATTTATTTCAATTAGACCCTTACAACCTTTTGTACGTCAAACAAAATTTAAAAGATATAAAGTGTCAGTCTGTCGTTCAGTCCTCTTAGTGAAGCTATTTGCTCGTTCCAAAGTGTAGATTCCGATGGAGAAGAACGAGCAAGAAACTCCATAGCGTAAGTACTACCGAAAGACAGTTACCTAGCCGTTCAAAAGTTTAGCTTGCCCTTCTTAAAAAATATATTTTTCCACGAAATGGAATACCTGTTTACTTTATGTGTGTTTTCTGGTCAAACTACATATAATTCAAAGTGAGCCACATGAAAAACTTTATACGTATAAGGAGTTCTTGCGAATAATAACATTGGTTACTGGAAAAACTTTCAACTCCATAGAAACTTTTAAGAACAAACAAGTACTTCAACAACTAGTTACTATAGTTACCCAGCGTTGTGTTTCGCCGTGCGAGTGAGATTACCTGGAGCCCAATCCCCTTTCCCCCTTTCTCCCCCTTCCCCCTCGCTCCCTCCCCCAAATCTATATATTTTCGAAACCCTAATGCCCAAAAGAGTGACTGCAAGGTTGGCGCGGTGGCTGGACAACTAGCTGCCGCGCAACGTGTCGCGGTTTCGATTCCCGCACGGAACAACTCTTTGTGTGGTCCACAGATTGTTATTCCAGGTCTGGGTGTGATGTGCATGTGAAATTGTATGTTTGTAAACGCACCCGGAGGAAATCCTAGAACGGGGCAAAGTTTAAAAAAAAGCCGGCAGTGCACTCGTAACTCCTCTGGTGTTGCGGGTGTCCATATGCGGCACGATTGCTTACCATCAGATAATCCGTCTGCTCGTTTGCCGACCTATCACAGAGAAAAGAAAACGTTCAGACATTCTCTTTCGAATAGCAATATAGTATAGATACGTATTTCCTCAATCTGTTTTAAATATCAAAGCTAACACCTACCACGTTCATGATTTCATTCATAAGGTCGTATGAAGCGTAGATTTCAAAGAACTTATTTATCAGTACCTATATATACCTTCTTACAAAGAATGAAAACCTTTGCATTTTTTTTTAATAAAACCTATTTTTACCTTCTTTAGACGATTTATTTTCCATAAAAAAAAATCTTGGAATTGTTTTTTTTTTAACTTTTGCTGCAAATAAGGCCATGATAATCAGGCTGTTGGCGCTGCGTGTTTGTAAGGAGGTGAGTAAGTACCTAAGTCAAAATTATTTAAGAAAATACTTCCTTAGGGAAATACCGTTTTTATGAAGGCGCGTGTTTTGTGCATATTTTCCTTAAAATAAGTATTATAACGATAAGAAGAAGAAAATACCTTTATTACTTATGAAATTATGTAGCTGTTTCATTATTGAAGAGTTGTCTACGGTAAAAGGTTGCAGTTAAAAAAAGGTTGGAAACATAAAACGTATTTTTGTACCTACGGTTCTTTTTATACGACAATAAAAAGCTATTGATTGTTCCATTTTCAAATTAAACTTTTAGTTATTCTATTATAATAATTCTGCAACGCAAAAAAAAAACATTACATTCAAAAAACAAAACTTTTTTAACTTAGAAGTCTTCATATTTATTGTAATGTCAACTTTAGGTTTCGAGTTTTAAAGTCCATAATGCTTTCTTTTCTATTGTAATTTAGGTATGTTGTCTCATAAATGCAAGTTTTATGTACCTCTTTAGTAGACGTGCATATTGATAATTATTATCAACATAGCTAAATTAATGGATTTTATATGTAACACATAATGTGAGTATTTTTAGGTTTGTGAATAGTCCGATTTAACTGGAGTGGTACCATACAGAAATCCGGCCTGAAATAACTTTTTTTAAGGGGACAAGCCGGCCACAAGCCACCTCCCAAAACCGCTGTGACTCCTTTAAGCTAGGATCTACAGTAGATACAACCATTAGAACACTGAAGTCCGGCGAGTCCCAAGGTGATGTATGACTATTTTGGATGCCACAACAAAATAAATCAGAAAATATTATTCGAGGAGAAGAAAAAACTAATCAATTTGCGTTATAATGTTTAGCCGTGTGTATGAGTTTCGAGTTTCCGGAGGCAAGATCCTTTTCCCGCCTCCCCTCCCTATCCCATCCCCAAATCCTAAATTCTTAACAACTTAAAAGGTAGTCAGAAAGACAATAATAAATGTCAATAAAGTTTATTCAAAATTAAAGAGAAGAATATTGGTGATAGTCAGTTTCTTTTCTGACACACATCCTTCTCTGCCCATCTAGGTGGGAGAAATCATTTGAGATTTCCCTACTAAAAAAAGTTATTCAAAAATTAGTTGATGTTTTAGGTGTATAAACTTACTGCAATGCAATGTCGGAAAATCGTCTTCCACCTAGTATTTAAAGCGGCGACCTCTCGCGCCCGGCCTTAGTCGAGGCCATGGTGCGGAGTGAGAGGAACTGGGACGCCGTCTCCTCCTTTTGTGAAGCAGTCATGCTCGCAAAGAGAGAGGCGGCCCGCGTGAGGGAGCAATCCTCCTCCTCACGCCCCAGCAGCCGCAACTGGCGACACTACGGGCGTCGGGGATCGAGGGACGATCTCCGGCCACCGTAAGTACGGGCCTGCGGTCGGCGAGTAAGGGCAGCTCGCCGCCCGACCAGAACCAGGCCCGAGCGTACGGCGCGTAGCGTTCCGCGCGCGCCTCAAAGAGCCAATAGACCACCACAGACGGGGCCCTAAAGGGCTGATGTTCAGCCGGGGCTGCGGGGTAAGCGCAATAAGGTACCGCGACCTCGGCACAGAGCAGGAGAAGGAACAGGGGGGTTTTTAGTCAGTAAGAGTCTGACACTCCCTCTTGCCCGGCCCTGGGCGGGAGAAGTCATTTGATGATTTTCCCCTCACAAAAAAAAAAACAAAAAAAAAAAAAAAAAAAAAAAAACCTAGTATTTAAAATCAATTTTTCCGTTCGAATTACACAATAATTAATACGCGCATCGAACACAAACATCGCATACTTAATTAGCTGCAGATATTACACAAAGTAACATACCTACATCAAAATTATTAATTTTGGGTTTTCTATTACGAAATTCGCAGTTACTTTTGGGTTAGGGGGAGAATCATCAAGTAACTTCTCACGTCTTGTGTGAGCGAGAAGGAATGTCAGGCACCCCGTTCTTTCTCCTATTTCGGACCGGGCCAACAATTTTACATACACCTCACACCCAGATCCGAAACCACAACTTGTGGATCACACAGAGTTGTCCTGTGCTGTACCCACAAGAAAAAACTACTCTATATACACTTTTCTCGAATAGTTAAAATCATTAAAATATTCGGCTCACTTATCAGAAATATCCTAATTAATTCTTAAGAAATACCTATTGACATACGAATGTAAAGTACATCGTAAAACACATTGATTAAGGTGTAACATATTTTTAAAATTTTATTTCCTTTAGTAAAACCTAAACATCGTTCATGTAGGTACCTACCTACGCAATTTTCTAAAGTAATAATACCTACTAATATTTACCGTGACGTCACAACTCACTAGTTATCAGCCCGCGAGTGTACACTAACCGTTAGCCGAGTAAACATTATCAGCTGTTTATACTTTATACTCTATTGTTTATGACCCCAGTACGATATCGTTGAGATAACTCACTCTGTAACGTTCAACTCATACAATAAATACCGTGACGAACTCTTAGAGTATTTGTATGGGATTATTGTATGTATTTTTAATGATAATACAATACTTACATACACTTTTGACATAAACGTTCACCTTTCCATAGAATAATTGATGACTGTCATTCCTTTGTCACAGAAAAAAACCATCTTGACGTGTCCCACGTTAAGTTGTGTACTATGTTTAAAAAAAGAATAAAATGTGCACCTATATTTTTTATCTGTAATAATTTGTGTTTTATAAAACATAAATTGATATTTAAGTTCTTCTTTTTTTTACATTAGACATTCATATGTTGTTTAATACTATAACGATATTATTTGTTAAATTTTAAATTTAAAGTAGGTACGTTTTCAATGTGTTCTTTTTTCAAAAAAATATTATTGTAGAAGTCGAGCCAATGTTATGACAGGTCCGACAGTTTATTTTCAATGTTAAATGCAATGACGTATTATATATAGACACGTCATGAACCAACATCGCGGCGCTTAAAAACCATTGAGATAGAAAATATATAGAGGCGCCGTGTTACTATAGAAGTATACATGCTTATACAAATATGAGGGAAATATGAAACAAACTATGAAATATCATTTTTTCTCACTCTTTCTAAGGCAATAATTGTATTAGACAAAAGGGACAACAATATTTAAGTTGTTGCTTAATATGGAAACAAATCATTTTGACATTAGCAAAGTTGTAGGTAAGTGCCATGTCCGCCATCTTAAGCGCTCAGAGTACCTGAGTTTCATGGTAGTTGTCCTGTCAAACGGTTGTTTATGTTTTAAATTATTGCGGTTTTTCAGTAAATTACAAAGAACCATTTTTTTAAACTACAAATATATATAGTGAAACAAAAAAACAATATGCCTGTGTGTTGTATTGTGCAGTGTGGTACAAAAAAGAACGAAAATCAACCTCAACTGTCTTTGTATAGGTTAGTAAACAGTTTTCATCAAATATTACTTAGAATAATCCACATAGATAGAAAAAATGTCACGGATACTTTAATCTATTGCCAAAGTATATATATTTACTTTTATTTCTGTCTGTGAGACAGTTTTAGTAAAAAATTGTTGTTTACAATAATATGTCAATATGGCATAGTTACGTACCATTTCACAAAAGTATCGATATAATCTCCCATTTAAAATTC